ATTGTGTGCTAGAATCTGAGCGCTTCTCACCCTCTTTGTGGCTGCCTCCTCCTTACTGTGGGCTCCGGGCACTGTCCACCTCCCTTGCTTCTCCTTCTGCCCTGCCCACTACAGTCTGTTCTTCTGTTCAGCCCAAATGATCTTGTTGTGACTCTGCTCTGCCCTCCGTGGTCCCCACATCTGTGAGCACCATAGAGAGGCTCACCAGCATCCTCCCTTCACCACACTGGGCCCCCGCTCTTCCTAGCGTACCTCTGGTCCTCCTGTCCTCAGGGCCTTTGCAGTTGCTGTTTATTCTTATGGTGCAGAATGCTGCTTTTGGTATCCGTGGTCCATTTGCTTGCTTAGTGTCACCCTCGAGAGAGGCCTTTTGTGACTGCCCCACCTACTATAACCCCATGCCCCTGGGCCTTGGACGTCCCCAGGCCCCCTCACCCGTTCTTGCTTTCCCCTACTGTATTAACCACCCCCAGGAACTGTGTTTGATTCACTGCTTACCGACAGTCTTTCTTAGTAGCACCTAAATTGCAGAAGGAGAAAAAAAATCGTACCAGTCTAGGATAGTTCTTGGTATATAGGGATTGGTTGTAAAAATGCCTACAGTGACTTAAAGTAGTTAGGCAAGAGAAAGCAATAAAAAGGGTATAAATAGGAAAGAAAAAAGTGAAACTATCCTTGTTTGCAGATTATATGATCTTATGCTCAGAAGACCTTAAAGATTCTGTCCAAAGACTTGTAGGACTGATAAATTCAACAAAGTACTAGGATATAAAATCAATATACAATTAATTGCTTTTCTATATGCCAATAATAGACTACTTGAGAAAGGAATCAGGAAAACAGTTTCATTCATGACAGCTTAAAAAAATACCTAGGGATCAATCTGACCAAAGAGACAGTGAAAATTCCAGAGTTCTGAAGAAAGAAATTGAAGACACTAGAAGAGGGCGAGACCTCCATGTTCATGAATTGGCTGAATTACTGTTGTTAAAATGGCCATTATTGCCCCAAAATATCTTCACAATACCAACAGTGTACTTTACAGATCTAGAAACAACAATCCTAATGTTCATATGGAAACAACTGACTCAGAATAGCAACCCCAACAACAAGGGAAATGCTGGAGACTTCACAGCATCTGGCTTCAAATTATGCTACTCTAAAGCCACAGTAACAGAATCAGCATGGTATTAGCACAGAAATAGACATGTAAGCCAGTGACAGCTATCTGATTCTGGAGAAAGAAACCAAAAATATATGTTGGAGAAAAGACGCCTTCTTTAAGAAAGGATTCTGGGAAAACAGGATACCCACTTACAGAAAATGGAAACTTCCTATCTCTCTGTACAAAAATCAGTTCAAAGTGGGTCAGAGACCTAGGTATAAGACGTGAAACTTTGAAACTGCTCAAAGAAAACATAGGAGACACTTGAAGCCATAGGCACAGGCAAAGCCTTCCTAAATAGGACTCCGGTAGCGCAGGAAATAATAGCAGGATGGCCAGGGGGACTACAGCAAATTAAAACATTTCTGCACAGCAAGGGGAACAATAATCAGAGTGAAGAGACAACCGATGAAATGGGAGAAAATCTTTGCCAGCTACTTTTCCAACAGAGGATTAATATCTACCATATATAAAGAACTCAAGAAACTTAATACCCCCCCAAAAAAATCAGCCCAATCGACACATGGGCACGAGAATTGAACAGACTCTTCTCAGAGGATGTACAGTCAGCCAGGGGTGCATGGACGGACACTGGACATCTTCGGCCATTAGGCGCCCGCCAAGCCAAACGACACTGGGATTCCCTCGCGCCCCTGTCGGAGTGGCTGTCGCGCAGAATACAGAGAACAGCAAACGCTGGCAAGAGTGCAGGGGGAGAAAGGAGGCCTTGCACACTGCCGGTGGGAGGGGAGTAAGCCACTGCGGAAGTCAGTACGGAAATTCCCCGGAAGGGATTAACGCCGGCCTTCCCTAGGAGACCTGCGTACCCACGCGCACTGTGGCACGGTTCACGAGAGCCACGGTGTGGAACCGGCCCAGGTGCCCACTGGCAGATGGATGGATTAGAAAAAAAAAGTACATATACACAATGGAGGTGTATTCAGCCACAGAAAACGAATGAGATTTTTATCATTTGCAGAAAAATGAATGGACCTGGAGCTCATCATGCTGAGCGAAATAAACCAGACTCAGACAAATCTCACGCGTTCTCTAATATGTGGGATCTAAAAAAGATGCCATGAAAGTGGAAGGGAGGCTGTTATTAGATGACGGGCAGGGAGAGGGAGGGCATGAGGGAGGAGGGGTGGAGAGTAGGGGCGTGAATACCATCAAAATACATTCTACACCGACACATCGGGCCCCCAAACGTGAAACTGGGGGTGGCGGAGGGGAAGTGATTAAAGTGATGTAGTCCACACGCACGTCTGCCAGGGGGACCCACTAATCTGCGTAACGCACTTGCACGCGTACGAAAAGCAGGGGAAAAGGCGGCCGGTGTCCCCTCGGCGCTGGCTCCCGAGACCGTCTGAGCTTCCTTCCTGGGGAGGAAGGGCCCTGCCGCCTCCCTCGCGCTTCCCGTCTGGGTCCTTGGGGCCACAGCCTGGAAACCTCCACCTTCACTCCCTCCAGGGAGAGCCCCAGTGACAGCCTCAGTGGGGCTCCCAGCGCTGTCTGCGGAGACTCCGTGTGCCGGGCGAGGGCGCCTGCGTCGGTCCGCAGCAGCCACTGCCCTGGCGGTGGGAGGAGGGAGTTGGCGGCAGAGCTGCATCCTGGCCTGTCACCCAGGCCTCCCGTGCCCCGTCACCATGCTAATGCAGTGTCAGCGCTCCGTCATTCAGCCTGCCCGCAGGCGAGGGGACTGCTCTGCCAGGCTCTGCTGTCAGAGCTCGCTGCAGGCGGGGAGGCCTAACCTGACCGCAGCCTGGCGACGGCAGGGAGCCCGGGGCCAGGGCCTGACAGCAGCTGTCACCCTCCATAGTGAGGGGCAGTTGCAGTGGCCGCCCACGGAAGTGGAGGCAGAGCTTGTGTGTCCTTGGAGGGTGACAGCCCAGTGTGGCCTTGGGGCGGAGCTGCCTCCCTGCAGGGCTCCCCTCTGGGCTGTGAGTCTCCTTCAGGACACAGCACAGTTCTGTCATTGCCTCGCATTCCCGTGACCCCTGAGGTCACCTTCTCTCATCACCTCTGGCTGGTGACAGCTACCCATCTGTTTCTGTCCTTCCAGCTCTTCCAGTTCTAGACTGTCACGTGAACGGAATCACACAGTATGTGTCCGTTGGTACGTGGCTTTGTTCACTCAGCTTCCTGCCTCCGAGACCTACCCATGACACTGTGTGCGTCAGCAGCTGGTTGCTTTTCACTGCTGAGTAATATTCCATCGGATAAAACTTGTTTTATCCTCGTTGGATGGTAGTCGGGTTACGTCTACTTTGGGGTGTGGAGCATTTCTCTGTGAACACAGTCTTTTATTTCTCTTGGATAAGTACGCTGGGGTGGAAATGTTGGGACATGCGGGAGGTTGTGTTCAACTTTTTAAGGGACCATCACAGCATTTCCCAAAGTGTCTGCACCATTTTCCTGCTGACTAACAATGCTCAGTGTCTCCGGTGCTTGCTACCACCTGTGTCGGCTCTGGTAAACTGACGGTGTGAGTCTTTCTCACTCGATTTAAAAGTTGGAGTGTTTCTCTGGTTACTGGGTTTCAAGAGTTCTGTTTCTCGGTCAAGTTTTTAAATCAGCTGTCTGATTCATAAATCTCCCCTTGCGATGAGAAGGGAATGTCTTTTCAGTCTCCGAGCAGTGCCCTTCAAAAAGCAAACGTGCTTGAGTTTAATGAAGCCCACTTCGTCAGGCTGGCCTTTTATGGATCAGGCTTTTGTGTTTGAGAAAACTTAACTTCCTTAAAGTCACGGTGTTTTTTCCTCCTTTGTTTTCTTTTATAAATTTAGCAGTTTCTAGTTGGGGTTTTGTATAGGATGCTATGGTCCATTTTGCGGTTTTGTTTTTTTGATAAAGTGGCCTGAGGTGTTGCACTCAGGGCATTTGAACTAAGCTACGTTCCGGCCCTTTACAGTTTTTTTTTTTTTTTTGTGTTTTTTGG